AGCTCCAGTGCCTCCAGCACCTCCAGTACCTCCAGCAGCTCCCGTACCTCCAGCAGCTCCAGAAGCTCCAGTCCCAGAGCCGACACCCCCAGTCCCAGGGTCTCCAACCTCTGTGTCTCCAGCAGCAGCACCCCCAGACCCAGCACCTCCAGTCCCAGGGTCTCCAGCCTCAGTGTCTCCAGCAGCAGCACCCCCAGAACCAGCACCTCCGGTCCCAGGGTCTCCAGCCTCAGTGTCTCCAGCACGAGCACCTCCAGAACCAGCGACTCCAGCACCTCCAGTAGACAAAGGACCAGCACCACTCCTAGCTCCAGCAGCGCGACGCTGACGGCGACCGTACCAGTCCTGCAGCTGCTGTGGGGTGAGAGGCACACGTGGACGAAGGCGGCTACTCCAAGGAGACCGCGCAACAGCAGACTCAGAACCCTCAGCGCCCGCACCCCCAACGGCTCCAGAACCTCCGGTGTCAGTACCCTCAGCACCAGTACCTCCAGCGGCTCCAGAACCTCCAGCGCCAGCACCCTCAGTAGCTCCAGAACCTCCAGCGTCAGTACCGCCAAGCTCAGCACCCCCAGACCCCTCACACTCAGGCTCAGCACCACCAGGCTCCACACCCTCAAGCTCCGCACCCTCAGGCTCAGCACCCCCAGGCTCAGCACCCCCAGGCTCCGCACCCCCAGGCTCAGCACCCCTAGAAGTAGCACCCCGAGAAGGACCACCCTCAGTAGGACCTGAGTCACCAGTGACCTCAACCGGCGCAGTCAAGGGAGGAGGGTCTACCTGAGAAACACCTGAAGGAGCAGGACCAGGAGTGGGGAGGGGGTCTACCTGGGGAGCACCTGGAGCGAGGAAGAGCGGCGGGGGGGGGGAGCGGGGCAGTGCGGTAGGGGAAGAGACGGTAAAAGGGAACCGACTCGTCGAACGTGACGTCCTGAGACGCAAAGACACGGCGCGAGGTGGGATGGTAAAACTGCCAGCCAGGCGCGTCAGGGACAAAGCCAAGGAAGACACAGGGAACAGCGCGGGCGGAGAGCTTGTCCGCGGTGGTATCGCGGACAAAGGCACGAGCACCCCAGACCCGGAAACGCGACGCATCGCCAACCTTCCCCGTCCACAGCAGCGTGGGCGAGGTCTCCGGCAAGGAGACACGGGGCCAGAGGTTGAGCTGATGTGCGGCGTACCGGACCGCAAATGGCCACAGAAAATGGGGGGCAGCCGCATGGATCATGGAGGTACGAGCGACCTCCATAACTAAGCCAATGCGGCGCTCAGCAACCCCATTCTGCTGTGGAGAGGCCGGAAGCGTGAACGATTGGGTGATGCCGTGCTCCGCACAGTAGGCTGCCAAGAGGTCAGAGGAGAACTCACCACCTCTGTCAGAGTGTAGACGCAGGACAGGAAAGTCCCGCCGGAATCGCTCGCGGAGCTGGAGACGAACAGTGCGGATCCAAGGGATCAAAACATCAGGGACGTCCCCCTTGCTCTGCAAGGGGAAGACCGTGGTGTAACGCGTGTAGTCGTCGACGACCAGCAGAAAGTACCGCTCGCGGCCCTGTCCCTGGACGCGGGCTGGGCCCCACACGTCCAGGTGGAGCGTCTGCAGTGGAGCCTCTGTGGGAGGAAACGAGGAGGAGTGAGGAGCGGCGCGCTGCCGCCCCTCGACGCAAGGAATGCAGGGCGGCGCAGGCGAGGGAGGGAGGGCAGGCAGAGACCTGGGAAGACCAGAGACCAGGGAGCGAGAGTGCATGCTACGCAGGCGAGGCAAGGAGGGGTGACCAAGGCGGTGGTGCCACAGGAGAGTATCGTGCGACAAAGTGCGACACTCGCAGGGGGCCGCCAGCTGACCAGACGTAGACGCAGACGCAGCTACCTGAGGGGACTCAGTGGTCAGTGTGTACAGACTCGAGCCAGGTGCACGGGTGAACGTGGCCAAGTGCCGGCCCGTCCTAGCACACGTACAGTGGGTCACTCGCTGACTCGCAGGAGTGAACTGGTCAACCCCCCGATCCTGGAGGTCAGCTCCACTCACCAAGTCCGTAGATAACGAGGGGAGGTAAAGACCCGACATTGAGCCGGACGGGGCGGCCGGACACGGCAAAACCGTGGAGTAGTGGGCAAGGACTGGACCCCCGGAGGGGTCCGCCAGGGAGACTGGAACTGGCCGACTAAGCGGCGTGAGTGTGGTGCAGTCACGAAAGAAGGAGCGGGAAGCTCCTGAGTCAAGGGTGAAGGTGTGCGAGACCGCAGTGGGCGCAGTACCAGAGAGAGCAGACTCACCAGCACCTGAAGCCACGGCCTCACCAGTACCTAGAGCAGTAGACGTACTAGCACCGAGAGCAGCAGCCTCACCAGCACCTAGAGCAGGAGACGCACTAGCACCTAGAGCAGCAGCCTCACCAGGGTCAGGCGGTACGCACAGGTAACAGGCACGGTCAGCACTAGTAGGCAATGCATACATGGCAGTGAGAATAGCATCATAGTCAAGCGCAAAGATATCTACCCTCTGTCCATGCAGCTCCAGCCAGGTGGGGAGCTCAGCCTCGTCGCCAAACACTGTGCGCCAGTCGTCGCTCAGACGGGCGAAGCAGCGGGACTGTGTGTGACCAAGCGTCCCACAAGGCTGACCAGTCCTAGCACCTGTGCGAATGACGTACGGGCAGCGAACTGTACGCGTAGACCTGCTACACTGAGCGTACCACTCCTGGAGCTGCCGGGGCGTAAGTGTCTCACGTGGACGCCCCTGCAGCTGCAGCTGGCCACTGCCAGACGCTCCCAACTGACCAGCTCCAGGGCGACAGCTACGACGGCTACTGCGACAACCCCAGCTAGTATACCACTCACTAAGCTGCTGGGGCGTCAGAGGCTCGCGTGAACGTCGCTGGAGCTGCATCTGGCCACCTGCCAGTAGTAGTAGTAGCAGTAGTAGCGCGGGCAAGGCAGGCGCGGCAGGCAGGCAGGCAAGCAGGCAGGCAGGCAGGCAGGCAGGCAGGCAGGCAGGCCGGCAGGCAGGCAGGCAGCCAGGCAGGCAGGCAGGCAGGCAGGCAGGCAAGCAGACAGACAGGCAGGCCGGCAGGCAGGCAGGCAGGCAGACAGACAGGCAGGCCGGCAGGCAGGCAGGCAGGCCAGCAGGCAGGCAGGCAGTCGCGCAGGCAGGCAGGCAGGCAGGCAGGCAGGCCGGCAGGCAGGCAGGCAGCCAGGCCGGCAGGCAGGCAGGCAGACAGGCAGGCCGTCAGGCAGGCAGGCAGGCGCTCACCAAAGGCTGGGAGAGCAGGCGCTCACCGGGCGAGCAGGGCCGGCGCTCGACGGGCGGCGGCCGAGTAGGCGCACGACAGCGGCGGCGTCGGGGCCGCAAAACCGGCTGCAGAGCAGGGCCGAAGCAGCTGCAGGGCGGGGCCGCTTCAGCGGCAGTAGCAGGGTGGGGCCGCGTCAGCGGCAGGTCGGGGCCGTGGCAGCTGCAGGGCGGGGCCGCATCAGCGGCAGGTCGGGGCCGTGGTAGCTGCAGGGCGGGGCCGCATCAGCGGCAGGTCGTGGCCGAGGCAGAGGGCCGCGCGCGGCTCGGCGCGGGCTGCGCTGACAGCGCGCTGAGCTGCTGCAGGCCGCGCGCGGCCGCGCTAGGCAGTAGCGGGCCGCGCGCGGCTCGGCGCGGGCTGTTGCGGGCCGCGCGCGGGCCGCGCGAGGCAGTAGCAGGCCGCGCGCGGCTCGGCGCGGGCTGCTGCGGGCCGCGCGCGGGCCTCGCGAGGCCGTAGCAGGCCGCGCGCGGCTCGACGCGGGCTGCGTGGGCTCGGCGCGGGCTGCGCGCGGCAGCTGCGGGCTTCGCGCTGCTGCAGCGGGCTGTGCGCGGCTCGGCGCGGGCTGCGTGGGCTCTGTGCGGGCTGCGCGCGGCTGCAGCGGGCTGCGCGCGGCTCGGCGCGGGCTGCGTGGGCTCTGTGCGGGCTGCGCGCGGCTGCAGCGGGCTGCGCGGGCCTCGGCGCGGGCTGCGTGGGCTCTGTGCGGGCTGCGCGCGGCTGCAGCGGGCTGCGCGCGGCTCGGCGCGGGCTGCGCGGGCTCTGTGCGGGCTGCGCGCGGCTGCAGCGGGCTGCGCGGGCCTTACGGGCCTCTAGGGGCGGCGCGTGGGCCTTACGGGCCTCTAGGGGCAGCGCGCTGGCCTAGGGCAGCAGGAGGCAGCGCTAGGGCTGCTGGACGGCGCACATAGTGCAGCACGTCACAAGGCAAGGCAAGGCAGGCAGGTACGTGGGGTAGCGCGGTAACCGCAGCGGTAGGTGGGCCCGAAAAAAAAACGGTCCTACGGACCTTAGTGCTCTGAAACCATGTCAGAATCTAGCAGCAGGAATGAATGAACTAGCAGCATGCAGGAGTACAAGTAGTAAACCCTAATTGGGCTGTACCCCATATGGGCTACCCCACTACAGCCTAGACAATATGCAGCATATATGTTTGACAAAGCGTGGTTTGAGGCATAGATCCCCTTGGGTCAAGCACACCATGCTGGTGGCTCCAGCGAGAAAGGTGCATTGGTGCAACGAGATGGGCATCGCCATGCTACAAGGCGCTAGAGAGTTGCAGCAAGGCACCGGCAGAGGAGCAAGCGGGCTGCCGTAGCAACGCGTGAGCTCACTGCAGCAAGGCGTGAGCTCACTGCAGCAACGCGTGAGCTCATTGCAGCAAGGCGTGAGCTCACTGCAGCAAGGCGTGAGCTCACTGCAGCAACGCGTGAGCTCACTGCAGCAAGGCGTGAGCTCACTGCAGCAACGCGTGAGCTCACTGCAGCAACGCGTGAGCTCACTGCAGCAAGGCGTGAGCTCACTGCAGCAACGCGTGAGCTCACTGCAGCAAGGCGTGAGCTCACTGCAGCAACGCGTGAGCTCACTGCAGCAAGGCGTGAGCTCACTGCAGCAACGCGTGAGCTCACTGCAGCAACGCGTGAGCTCACTGCAGCAACGCGTGAGCTCACTGCAGCAACGCGTGAGCTCACTGCAGCAACGCGTGAGCTCACTGCAGCAATGCGTGAGCTCACTGCAGCAACGCGTGAGCTCACTGCAGCAACGCGTGAGCTCACTGCAGCAACGCGTGAGCTCACTGCAGCAACGCGTGAGCTCACTGCAGCAACGCGTGAGCTCACTGCAGCAACGCGTGAGCTCACTGCAGCAACGCGTGAGCTCACTGCAGCAACGCGTGAGCTCACTGCAGCAACGCGTGAGCTCACTGCAGCAACGCGTGAGCTCACTGCAGCAACGCGTGAGCTCACTGCAGCAACGCGTGAGCTCACTGCAGCAAGGCGTGAGCTCACTGCAGCAACGCGTGAGCTCACTGCAGCAACGCGTGAGCTCACTGCAGCAACGCGTGAGCTCACTGCAGCAACGCGTGAGCTCACTGCAGCAACGCGTGAGCTCACTGCAGCAAGGCGTGAGCTCACTGCAGCAACGCGTGAGCTCACTGCAGCAACGCGTGAGCTCATTGCAGCAAGGCGTGAGCTCACTGCAGCAACGCGTGAGCTCACTGCAGCAACGCGTGAGCTCACTGCAGCAAGGCGTGAGCTCACTGCAGCAACGCGTGAGCTCACTGCAGCAACGCGTGAGCTCACTGCAGCAACGCGTGAGCTCACTGCAGCAACGCGTGAGCTCACTGCAGCAACGCGTGAGCTCACTGCAGCAACGCGTGAGCTCACTGCAGCAACGCGTGAGCTCACTGCAGCAACGCGTGAGCTCACTGCAGCAACGCGTGAGCTCACTGCAGCAACGCGTGAGCTCACTGCAGCAACGCGTGAGCTCACTGCAGCAACGCGTGAGCTCACTGCAGCAACGCGTGAGCTCACTGCAGCAAGGCGTGAGCTCACTGCAGCAAGGCGTGAGCTCACTGCAGCAAGGCGTGAGCTCACTGCAGCAACGCGTGAGCTCACTGCAGCAACGCGTGAGCTCACTGCAGCAACGCGTGAGCTCACTGCAGCAACGCGTGAGCTCACTGCAGCAACGCGTGAGCTCACTGCAGCAACGCGTGAGCTCACTGCAGCAAGGCGTGAGCTCACTGCAGCAACGCGTGAGCTCATTGCAGCAAGGCGTGAGCTCACTGCAGCAAGGCGTGAGCTCACTGCAGCAACGCGTGAGCTCACTGCAGCAAGGCGTGAGCTCACTGCAGCAAGGCGTGAGCTCACTGCAGCAAGGCGTGAGCTCACTGCAGCAACGCGTGAGCTCACTGCAGCAACGCGTGAGCTCACTGCAGCAAGGCGTGAGCTCACTGCAGCAACGCGTGAGCTCACTGCAGCAAGGCGTGAGCTCACTGCAGCAACGCGTGAGCTCACTGCAGCAAGGCGTGAGCTCACTGCAGCAACGCGTGAGCTCACTGCAGCAACGCGTGAGCTCACTGCAGCAACGCGTGAGCTCACTGCAGCAACGCGTGAGCTCACTGCAGCAACGCGTGAGCTCACTGCAGCAACGCGTGAGCTCACTGCAGCAACGCGTGAGCTCACTGCAGCAACGCGTGAGCTCACTGCAGCAACGCGTGAGCTCACTGCAGCAACGCGTGAGCTCACTGCAGCAACGCGTGAGCTCACTGCAGCAACGCGTGAGCTCACTGCAGCAAGGCGTGAGCTCACTGCAGCAACGCGTGAGCTCACTGCAGCAACGCGTGAGCTCACTGCAGCAACGCGTGAGCTCACTGCAGCAACGCGTGAGCTCACTGCAGCAACGCGTGAGCTCACTGCAGCAACGCGTGAGCTCACTGCAGCAACGCGTGAGCTCACTGCAGCAACGCGTGAGCTCACTGCAGCAACGCGTGAGCTCACTGCAGCAACGCGTGAGCTCACTGCAGCAACGCGTGAGCTCACTGCAGCAACGCGTGAGCTCACTGCAGCAAGGCGTGAGCTCACTGCAGCAAGGCGTGAGCTCACTGCAGCAAGGCGTGAGCTCACTGCAGCAACGCGTGAGCTCACTGCAGCAACGCGTGAGCTCACTGCAGCAACGCGTGAGCTCACTGCAGCAAGGCGTGAGCTCACTGCAGCAACGCGTGAGCTCACTGCAGCAAGGCGTGAGCTCACTGCAGCAAGGCGTGAGCTCACTGCAGCAACGCGTGAGCTCATTGCAGCAAGGCGTGAGCTCACTGCAGCAACGCGTGAGCTCACTGCAGCAACGCGTGAGCTCACTGCAGCAAGGCGTGAGCTCACTGCAGCAACGCGTGAGCTCACTGCAGCAATGCGTGAGCTCACTGCAGCAACGCGTGAGCTCACTGCAGCAACGCGTGAGCTCACTGCAGCAAGGCGTGAGCTCACTGCAGCAACGCATGAGCTCACTGCAGCAACGCGTGAGCTCACTGCAGCAACGCGTGAGCTCACTGCAGCAACGCGTGAGCTCACTGCAGCAACGCGTGAGCTCACTGCAGCAACGCGTGAGCTCACTGCAGCAAGGCGTGAGCTCACTGCAGCAACGCGTGAGCTCACTGCAGCAAGGCGTGAGCTCACTGCAGCAACGTGTGAGCTCACTGCAGCAACGCGTGAGCTCACTGCAGCAACGCGTGAGCTCACTGCAGCAACGCGTGAGCTCACTGCAGCAACGCGTGAGCTCACTGCAGCAACAAGTGAGCTCACTGCAGCAACGCGTGAGCTCACTGCAGCAACGCGTGAGCTCACTGCAGCAACGCGTGAGCTCACTGCAGCAACGCGTGAGCTCACTGCAGCAACGCGTGAGCTCACTGCAGCAACGCGTGAGCTCACTGCAGCAAGGCGTGAGCTCACTGCAGCAAGGCGTGAGCTCACTGCAGCAACGCATGAGCTCACTGCAGCAAGGCGTGAGCTCACTGCAGCAAGGCGTGAGCTCACTGCAGCAAGGCGTGAGCTCACTGCAGCAACGCGTGAGCTCACTGCAGCAACGCGTGAGCTCACTGCAGCAACAAGTGAGCTCACTGCAGCAAGGCGTGAGCTCACTGCAGCAACGCGTGAGCTCACTGCAGCAACGCGTGAGCTCACTGCAGCAACGCGTGAGCTCACTGCAGCAAGGCGTGAGCTCACTGCAGCAACGCGTGAGCTCACTGCAGCAACGCGTGAGCTCACTGCAGCAAGGCGTGAGCTCACTGCAGCAAGGCGTGAGCTCACTGCAGCAAGGCGTGAGCTCACTGCAGCAACGCGTGAGCTCATTGCAGCAAGGCGTGAGCTCACTGCAGCAACAAGTGAGCTCACTGCAGCAACGCGTGAGCTCACTGCAGCAAGGCGTGAGCTCACTGCAGCAACGCGTGAGCTCACTGCAGCAACGCGTGAGCTCACTGCAGCAAGGCGTGAGCTCACTGCAGCAAGGCGTGAGCTCACTGCAGCAAGGCGTGAGCTCATTGCAGCAACGCGTGAGCTCACTGCAGCAACGCGTGAGCTCACTGCAGCAACGCGTGAGCTCACTGCAGCAACGCGTGAGCTCACTGCAGCAAGGCGTGAGCTCGCTGCAGCAACGCGTGAGCTCACTGCAGCAACGCGTGAGCTCACTGCAGCAACAAGTGAGCTCACTGCAGCAACGCGTGAGCTCACTGCAGCAAGGCGTGAGCTCACTGCAGCAACGCGTGAGCTCACTGCAGCAACGCGTGAGCTCACTGCAGCAAGGCGTGAGCTCACTGCAGCAAGGCGTGAGCTCACTGCAGCAAGGCGTGAGCTCATTGCAGCAACGCGTGAGCTCACTGCAGCAACGCGTGAGCTCACTGCAGCAACGCGTGAGCTCACTGCAGCAACGCGTGAGCTCACTGCAGCAACGCGTGAGCTCACTGCAGCAAGGCGTGAGCTCACTGCAGCAACGCGTGAGCTCACTGCAGCAACGCGTGAGCTCACTGCAGCAAGGCGTGAGCTCACTGCAGCAAGGCGTGAGCTCACTGCAGCAAGGCGTGAGCTCATTGCAGCAACGCGTGAGCTCACTGCAGCAACGCGTGAGCTCACTGCAGCAACGCGTGAGCTCACTGCAGCAAGGCGTGAGCTCACTGCAGCAACGCGTGAGCTCACTGCAGCAAGGCGTGAGCTCACTGCAGCAAGGCGTGAGCTCACTGCAGCAAGGCGTGAGCTCACTGCAGCAAGGCGTGAGCTCACTGCAGCAACGCGTGAGCTCACTGCAGCAACAAGTGAGCTCACTGCAGCAAGGCGTGAGCTCACTGCAGCAACGCGTGAGCTCATTGCAGCAAGGCGTGAGCTCACTGCAGCAACGCGTGAGCTCACTGCAGCAACGCGTGAGCTCACTGCAGCAACGCGTGAGCTCACTGCAGCAACGCGTGAGCTCACTGCAGCAACGCGTGAGCTCACTGCAGCAAGGCGTGAGCTCACTGCAGCAACGCGTGAGCTCACTGCAGCAAGGCGTGAGCTCACTGCAGCAAGGCGTGAGCTCACTGCAGCAACGCGTGAGCTCACTGCAGCAACGCGTGAGCTCACTGCAGCAACGCGTGAGCGTGCGCAACGATTTGACAGCGCACTGCCGCAACAAGGCTGCCGCAGGAATTTGCCAGCGCCTCAAAAAAGGCAGCAGCGCACAAGCCGCCAGCACGCAACAACGTGCCAGCGAGCTGCGAGGGCACCTGCAAGGCGCCAAACATAAGGCGCCAGCGCGTAAGGCGCCAACGCAGCAAACGCCAGCGCGCTAGGCGCTAGCGCGTTAGGCGCCAGCGCTCTAGGCGCCTGCGGATTAGGCGCCAGCGCGCTAGACTCCAGCGCGTTTGGCGCCAGCGCGCTAGGCGCCAGCGCGCTAGGCGCCAGCGCGCTAGGACCCAGCGCGCTATGCGCCAGCGCGCTATGCGCCAGCGCGTTAGGCGCTAGCGCGTTAGGCGCTAGCGCGTTAGGCACAAGCGCGTTAGGTGCCAGCGCGTTTGGCGCCAGCCCGTTAGGCGCTAGCGCGCTATGCGCCAGCGCGCTATGCGCCTGCGTGCTCGCTCCCGTGCGCACACACTCCCTCACACACCCTCTCTCCCCTTATGGAGGCACAATGGTAAGAGGAGACCAATCGGCATTGAGAACTTACGAGGAAAGTGGAAAAAATAGGACATTTCGGAGAGAGAAGGAAAAACGCACCTGACACAACCGTGCCTAAGAAAACAACGCGTGGTCGTGCAGCAAGCCACCAAACGTGACGGCGGGAACGGAGGGAATGACGAGGGAGGTGAGGAGAGGCGACGGCGGGGAGTGAGGGAGAGGTGACGGGAAGGTGGTTCTAAAAACGCTTTAGGTAGGAAATGGCGACGGGTTGTGAAGGTACAGCATTTGGGGTGGGAAGGAAAGGGGAGATGAGAGTCGAGCAGGTGGTTGAATTCAATAAACGGGAATCGCAAGGGGACAGTGCGGTTGGTTTCTTGGGTTTGGTTGGGTTTGTGTAGCGCTGGCAAGAAATTCTATGCCAACGAGGCACGAACCAGTTTTTACAACCGAAATACACCAGTTCCGTTATACTCGCCAAAATCAAGAAAGTTGTAGATGGATATTTTTAGCTGTTTGTGACACATAGAAAACAATATACACAAACTCACTAGAAAACAATATTGCTTAGTCAAACAAATATAGTTATATTCTCTAATATTTTCCCATTAACAACATTCAATGTTAAGACAGATTTACCATGAGGAATAACAAATAAAAAAACTTAAAAGCATGTTATAAAGAGACATAGTTCATCGTTTTCTCTGTATACCATAGGTATAATATCAAGCTAGCAAGATAGTGGAAGTCCTACGCAACCCTTACGACGTTAACGTCGAATCTTGTTCATGTTATCACCTGTGTGTATCTGGCAGGCTGATATTATTTAAAACAACAATATCGAACCGTCCTAAACCGATTTGGTAACAAGCATTGAAATCATCATTTGTGATCGGCTAATTTGTTTGTTCTTGTAACGATACGTCAACAAACACGAGGGAAGGAGAAACACTAGCAACGCTGTTATTCTTTCAACGGATTGGTTACGTCTAAGTCGCGTACGGTCATTCGGGCAAGGACGACAACGCGCGACGACGGTGACCCGCGTTGACGCGAGGCACACGACACACGGCAAGGTTGACGGCCCCTGTGGGATCAACACTCATCTCGTGTCCTGCGCTCAACGCCCCCCATCGCCCGTCGCATCCACCTGCGCAACGCCGCGCTCACCACCGTTCCCCCCGCTGTACCACTCCGCCGCGGCAGCGGGCGAGCGGCGGGAGGCGCAGCAGCATGGAGGGCGGCGCGGGAGGCACCATCAGCGGCCCCCTCGCGGCCTCGGGTGCGTCGCCCATCTCAGCCGCGCCTCGCACGGTGCTTGCCGGCGCAATCCCTTTTTTATCGCGCGCCTCTTCTCGCACCCACGCCCCTCACCGCTTGCCTGTCCGCCTGCATGCATTGCACACCCTGCCCTCACAGTCAACTCTGCCAATACCACTCCCCTCTCCCCTCCCCTTCTCCTCCTCTCCCCTCCCCTCTCCTCCTCCCCCCATCCCCACCTCTCCTCGGCGCGCGCCGCCAGGCGGGGCGGACGGGGGGACGTACGGCGGGCTGGACGCGGGGGACCTTGAGTTGGCGCCCGCCGTCACCACCGTGGCCTTCTCGCCCACGCCGCTGCCCCCCCTGCGCGTGCCCGTGCGCGCGGGGCCCGCGGACAGCCCCGAGCGCGGCGCGTGGGTGCTGGCGTTCCAAGACGAGCCCAGCTGGCGCTCCGCGTGGGGGGCCTGCGAGCGCAAGATAGCGGAGCAGTGCGAGGTGAGGGGGCGAGGTGAGGAGGGGAGGTGAGCGTGGAAAGAGGCCTATGGGGGATCCATTTAACTGAAGTCGCTAGAGATTTGCGCACTCACCTCTCTGTTGGGCATTCGCTCTTCTGAATATTGTTAATACTCCTCTCTATCTCCCCTTCTTTCTCCCCCTGCTTCCCCGCCCTCCCCTCTCCCCTGTCCCTTCGCCCCCCTCCCGCTAGATGGGCGCGCGCATGGGGTGTGCAGTGCGCGCCAGTGAGCGGTGCCAGGGCGCGCTGCCGTGGGGGCTGAGGGGCGCGGGGGGCGGCTTCCTGGGGGTCATGGAACTGCTGGGGGTGGGCGCCCATGGGGGGGCGGGCAGGGGCGGTGAGGAGGAGGAGAAGGAGCGCGAGGCGTGTGAGGAGCGGGAGATGATGGCTTGCCTCGCCACCGCACAGGTACCTCACTGCACCTGTGATTCGATTGGTCTTCATTTTTGTGTAATGGATGCATTGTGCTGCTCCCCCCGAATGCCTTGCTTTCTTACACCATCCCACAGCAGCCCCCCACACTGCCTTTCCTTTCCACTCTCCAACCCTAAGCCGTGCCTCGCTCCTTTGTCATGCACTATCCTTCCATGCATCCCTCACTTCTCTTCTACTCCTCCTTTCGGCCCCTTCCTCGCCCGGACGCCCCTATCCCCTCCTCCTCACTCCCGCTGCCCCCATGCATGCCCACAGACCGCCTGTGAGGAGCACGCACAGCAGCAGTGCAGCGCGGCCTTCTCCCAGGCGCTGCTGGCGCGCTCGCTCGCCGCCATCCCGCTGCCGCTGCTCGACCGCCGCGCCCAGCGCGCCCTCCTGCGCTCCGCCCTGCACCGCCGCCACGCCGCTGCCGCCACTGCCGCTGCTGCTGGGGGCCGCAGGGGCAGCGCAGACGCGGGGGTGGGAGGGAGGGCGCGCGTGGGGGCGGTGGAGGCGGAGAGGAGCCCGGGGGCGAAGCTGGCGCAGCAGGCCGTGGCTGCTGGGCTCGCAGGGGCGGGCAGGGGGACGAGCGAGGGGGGTGAGGGGGAGTGGGGGGAGGGCTCGGCGCTGTCGAACGTGGTGAGCGCCAAGGGGCTGCCCCGCGAGGCGGGCGGTGCTGCTGTGGCGTGGCGGAGCGGTGTTTCCTACTTGGAGTCACCGAGGGGTGGTGCTGGGGAGGTGGGGGGGATGGGGAGCGGTGGAGAGGGGTGGGAAGGCGGACTGGTGAAGCCGAGGGCTGGGAGGAGAAAGGAGGTGGCGGTTGGGGCGGTGAAAGGGGGAGTGGATGGCAGAGAGCGTGGGGAGAAGAGTGTCGCAAGTGCTGGTGGCGGCGGAAGCAGCAGCAGCAGCAGGCAGACAGCAACTGGTGGGGCAGAGGGTGGTAACAGTGGGGGTGTACAACATGCAGAGGGACGGGGGGAGGTGAATGGCTTACTGGGTCCTTGGGAGCGTGCAGTGAAGGCTGTGAAGAGCAGAGTTGAGATAGCGGCACGAGGTGCAGGTGCAAGCAGCTGACACCACGCATGCACTGGTTGGATTGATTCAATCCTGGCCCTTGCTTCCTGGATAGAATGCAGTACGGTATTGTCTTTGATCTGCGATGCTGAAGGGCTTGCATTGCATGGAAGATGAGGTGCTGCTGTGCATCATGACGAGCCTATGGCTCGTCTAGTTGTACCTGTATGTAGCATGGCGTAGTCTAAGATCTGAGACTTATCTAGCCACCAAGCGTGAACTTTGAAAATTACCCCCGACTGGTTTGCTCCGAGTGATAAATTGGGGTGACTTGTGAGTGCTCTGTATATGTAGCCCACAAGGATTCCTTTAAACAACTTTGGCATATATTTACCGTATCAATTCATTGAAGGAGGATGGCTACAGATCACGCAAATGCTCAGATGCTTTAGTTCATCGCGCCCTGTATTGACTTTGGTTTGGTTCAAACTTGTCTCGCAGCTCAGGCGGCGGGTCGAAGTGGATGTTATTGAATGGCTCATCCATGTCCGCTGCATACGTGCTCTTCACCTTGAAATACGTCGCCTGCACGCATGTAGGGACACATGTGGTGACACGCGGAGCATGCACAGGGCAGATTAGAGGTGGATGGCATTGCATGAGCGTGTGAGGGGAGAAGAAGGGCGTTGAATGGCTCGTCCATGTCCGCCTGGTACGTGCTCTTCACCTTGAAGTACGTCGCCTGCATGGGATGCGGCGGGGGGGGGGAGGGGGGGGGAGGAAGAGGGAAGGGGAGGACGGGGTGGATAGCGTTAGGGGCTCATCCATGTCCACCTGGTACAGTATGTGCTCTTCACCTTCCAGTATGTTGCGTGCATGGGAGATGTGGGACACACCTGGTGCAAGGTGGAGGCGGCATGGGGGTCCCAAGGTGGGTGACGGCAGTGACAGTGTGCGGGCAAGGGACAGCAGAGCGCACCATGACACACAGCAGCGCCAGGGCACTCACAGCATCACTATACAGCTGCAGCAGCTGGTCGCGTGACTTGGTGGGGTGGATCTTCTTGCCGAAGTCAAACGCATCGCCCGGCTGGCGGCCCAGGCGCGTCATGACTGCCTTCACGTCCTCCTCCATGCGCTCAAACCGCCCCACCAGGCCGTACCTTATGCGGTCCAACCCGCACAGCAGCGACTGGTGGAGGGGGGTGGGTGGGGGAGCAAGAGAGGCAGGGCGTGGGGGGAGAGGAGGGGGGCAGCAGGGAAAAGCGAGGGTCCAGGGTTTGAAGGCCTCCGGACGAAAGTGCATCGCGTGGTCGTGTGTGGTGGAAGTGGGCACGCATGTGGTTTGTGTGCGCAAGGCGCGTGGTCGCATGGCATGGCACCCACCTGTGGCGCGAGGTGGTTGTCCATGTTCTTGCGCCTGTCGAAGCGCATGCCATACTCCACGAGGCGCACGAACTCGGGGAACGTGAAGTTGCCGCCCGTGCGGTTGCTCATCTGCCGGAAGTACGCCAGGTGCCCAAAGAAGTTCTGGGGGGGGGAGGGAGCGCAGTGAATGGGGAGGCACGGGGAGAGAGCGAGGACGAGATGGGTCAAGAAAGGGTGTGGATGCAGGTGGTGCGAGGCGCTAGCAGCACCACTGTCACTCACTCATTAGACGATAAAGAATACGAGTATCATGACACGGTGAGTGCCCCTCTGAGGTTCCTCCTCACCCTTGAGTGATGAGCACAGCAAGATTGGAGTGTCATGAGTTGCCTGTGAGTTGCCTGTGGACGCTCGTCGCGCCCAACCTCTGACTACCCGCCACCCTTTGTCTCGCCAACCACACTCCACTGCTCTTGTCAATCCCCCATAACCCAACCACCCAACCACCCACTGCCCACAGCTCACCAGGTTCCAGAACTTCCTCCCCCATCCGTCGGGCCCGCCGCCCGCCACGTGCTTGTTGAGGTACGCCGACACGATGCGCTCGAAGGGCTGGCGCACGAACACAAAGCGCAGCAGGTCGGGCCGCGTCACGGCACGGATGGCTTCTGGCTCCGACAGCGCGTACCATAGCTCCGTGATGTTGGAGGCGAAGGGGCGGTGCGTGGAGAGCAGGTCGTTGCTGTGCGTGTCGTGGTGCTGCTGCCTCAGCCACACCTTCCAGCTCGTGCACGCCACCTTGGGCACCCAGCAGTACAGCAGCCCTATGTCCTCTGGTGTGCCACACGATGGTGGAGCAGTAGGGAGGAGTGTGCGGAATGAAGTGGGATGAGGAGAGAGCGAATGAGGGGATAGTCAGGCCTTCCAGCTGGTGCAAGTCACCACAAGCACCCAGCGATGCAGCAGGCCGATGCTCTTTGGTGTGGCAATGGGACGAGGGCGCAGTGGGAGGGGGAAGGGAGGGTGTCAACTCGCTCGCCTGAGGTGAGATGAGGTAGACGAGGAGATACAGGTATGTCAACTCGCTCATGCCATCTTCACAGACAGTCTGGTAGCAAACACACAGCACAAACAAAACTCACTGCCACTCACTGAACCCTCCCAAAACTGCATCTCTCACCATCGACGATGAGCTGGTGTCCAATGCGGTGCTTCGTGATGGGCTTCGTCGCTGGTGCCTGGCACACCGTATCCTCGCGCACCAGCCCCACCTCCTCCCCGCGCTCCACGCCCTCCGCCATCGCCCCCACCCACCCCCCGCCGCCCCGATCCCCCCTCCCCACTGCACCACCCGCGGCTTGGGAGGCCACTTGGGTGCGGCGGGCGATGGCCTGCGCGTGCAGGAAGTCAGCTTGAGGCGACTGCTGCAGGTGGATGAGGCGCGGCGCGTGGGAGAGCGCGAACAGCTCTGCCGCCTCCAGCTGCGAGCACCGGATGGACCTCTGCTTCGCGTCCAGCCCCGCCCACTCCCTCTGTGCCTCCTCCCTCTCCCTCGCTTCCCTCTCAGCCACTTCTCTCTCCGCCACCTCCATCTGCTTCCTCAGCTGCTCCCTTGTCTCGCCTTGCTGCTGCTGCTCCTGCTTCGCCTTCTTTCTCCCCGTGCCTGCATGCGACTCATTCCCCTCCTCATTCTCGTCACCATCCTCCCCCCCTTCAGACTGCAGCAACCGCCGCAATCGCACCAAACTGAAAACGTTCTGCTTACCCTCCCCCTCCCCGTCACCCTCCCCCTCCCCCTCCTCATCCCCCTCCCCCTCCTTCTCCCCCTGCTCCTCACCTGCCAGCACGGCCTTCCAGTCCCTGCCCATGAGCTCTTTCAGCATCGCCCTGATCTGCCGCCGCTGCTCGCCCGCTGTCTTGCCCATCTCCCTTGCCCCCATGCCCGGCCCGTACATCTTCTGTAGGAACTCCAGCACTCGCTCCCTGCGCGCATCGCCCTTGGCGTCCATCCCCCCCGCCTCTCCCCCTCCATCCGGCCCATCCACCCCAGCAATCAAGCTCGCACTCCCTCCCTCCCCTCCTCCCGCTGCTTCCTCTCCTGCTCCTGCCCCGCTCCCCTCCTCCCCGCCCCCCTCGCCCGTGCCACTCACGTTCTCCTTCTCCCCCGCCTCCATGTGCTCCTGAACCGCCTTATCCAGCCACTTCTTGCGCTCCTTCCTGCTCGTCACGCTCTTCGCCACGTCAGCAGCAGCAGCGTCAGCGCGGGTGACATTCTTGGCCATGTCAGCGCGGTGCCGCTTCTCCGCGATCTGCTTCGGCGTCCACGCGTGCGGCACGATGGCCGGCGCCGCCATCTCCCCGCGCTGCGGGTTCGGCCGGCACTGTTCAGAGCGGTGCAGAGTGGTGCGGAGGAGGTGCGGCTGGCGGGCGGGGTGGAAGGTGTGGGCGACGGCGAGGGCCTGCGAGGGCCAGAAGGCGGCGATGGTGGTGCGCGTGGCGGGGTGTGCGAGGAACAGCCACATGAGGCGACGAGCCGTGCAGTTCACCAGCTGCTTCACATCGCACCCCGTGCACCCTGACAGCACCGGCTGTGATGGGAGAAGGGAAGGGTGAAAGGGAAAGGTGCAGGAAAGGGTGAGGGGAAGGGGGGCACAAGGGCAGAGCTTGAGTGAAGGCGAGTGTACGAGAAGGTTCATGAAGAAGGAAGTAGCTAGCAGCTACCTAAGAGCGTAGGGGCAGAATGCAGTGGGCAGGAGTGTCTGTCGGGAGGGCAATAGTGTGGCGAGGGCAGTGAACCTCCATGCATACGGCAGTGCTGGACACCGCACAAGCACACATGAGGAGCTTCTGAGAGCATACCTCCATGTAGACGGCAGTGCTGTGGCGCACGTGCGTGAGGTTCTCCCGGTCAACCAGTTGCTGCACAGCAGGCGAGGGGTGCAGCATGCCGTAGCACTCCGCCATGGACGCCTGCAGCTCCATCGCCTCCTCCGACCCGGGCGCCTGCAGGGGGGAGAGTAGCGAGGCAGAGAGGGTATGTGGCAGTGGGAGGGTGGGGCAGAACGGAAGCAGAGTGGGGATGCAGGGCTGGGCGGAATTTACATGAAGCACAGATGGGTGCCACCCATTGGCCTTTCACGCAGCTTCATGCCTGCAATGCACCCGCGGAGAACATTTGCGACAAGCCATGTGTGCACTCACCACCATGCCCCATGCACTCACCACCATGCCCCATGCACTCACCACCATGCCCCATGCACTCACCACCATGCCCCATGCACTCACCACCATGCCCCATGCACTCACCACCATGCCCCATGCACTCACCACCATGCCCCATGCACTCACCACCATGCCCCATGCACTCATCACCATGCCCCATGCACTCACCACCATGCCCCATGCACTCACCACCATGCCCCATGCACTCATCACCATGCCCCATGCACTCACCACCATGCCCCATGCACTCACCACCATGCCCCATGCACTCACCACCATGCCCCATGCACTCACCACCATGCCCCATGCACTCACCACCATGCCCCATGCACTCACCACCATGCCCCATGCACTCACCACCATGCCCCATGCACTCACCACCATGCCCCATGCACTCACCACCATGCCCCATGCACTCACCACCATGCCCCATGCACTCACCACCATGCCCCATGCACTCACCACCATGCCCCATGCACTCACCACCATGCCCCATGCACTCACCACCATGCCCCATGCACTCACCACCTCCATGCTCGTAGCTGCGTTGCGCAGGGACGAGAGCAGGTGGAGGCTCACAGACACCGTGCTGCCAACGCCACCACTGCTGCCACTGCCGCTGCCACCCGTACTTCCCGTGTTGCCTCCTGCCACTTCTGCCAGCAGCCTTCGCCCCGTGCCCTGCCCGCTACTGCTCTGCCCCCCACTGCTCTGCGTATCAGGCTCGGCCCCAACAGGGAAGGACTCAGGAGGCGACAGGAGCAGGCGGGCAGAGGCCAGGCGGGCGCTGCTGAGGTGCTGGGAGGAGCGCGCCCTGCCACTGCCAGCGCCATTGCCGGTACTGGTGCCTATCCTGCTGGTGCCGGTGCTCAGCAGGCGGCGGCGGTCCGAGTGGGGGTGGGTGGGGAAGGGGATGGGCGGCTGCTCCACCAGCCACGGCGCCTGCTGTGCCCCATGCGGGTTGTGCTGCGGCTGCGGCTCGCCTGGCAGCGGGTGTGGTTGCGGCTGCGGCTGCGGCTGTGGTTGCTGAGGTGGCTGCTGACGTGGCGGTGATTGTGCCGGAGCTGGTACGATGTCCAGGTCGAGCCTCTGACGTGGACAGGTGGGATGACGGGGCGGGGAGTGGGCAAGAAGGAGTGTGAGAGGGAGAAGGTTGTCCAACGGCCCCGACGTTTGTCCAAAGTAGAGTGACACAAGGCAAAGTGGCCAGGCAGGCAGCAGGGGGAAGAGGCTCAGGTGGTGCAATGCAAGGCACCCAGCTGGTGCCATCAACATAAAGAAGCAATAATATGCAGGCACTTTCCGTGCTGACGCAGCAGCAGCACCGTTGCATCTCTGGCAGGTCAAACTCCAACTGCCCACCGCTGCCCACCCCTGTCCACCCCTGCCACCTCTACCTACCCCTGCCCGCCCCTGCCTGCCATGCATCCACCGCCACAAGCCTACCATCTACTCCACCCCCCCCATCCCACTCTACACCAACCGCTACTCACCCCTTCAGCGTAGAGTGGCGAGTGCAGCCACAGCGGTTTCTCATGCAGCACTGCCACCGTCGCTGCACGTGGGTCGCTATGCGACCCGTTGTGCGGTGCATCGTGGTCGTCAGGCAGGGAGGGCGAGAGCGGCAGCGGCAGGAAGAGGTGGTGGAAGTGAGCGTCCCACACGCCGCTGTCCGCCTGCCACAGCACCGCCAGCCGCAGCTGCCTCACCCCCTCCTCGCCCTCCCCTGGACCCTCCACTCCCCCGCTGCTGCTGCTGCCCCCACTGCTGCCTGCAGCAGCAGCATCCACAGCAGCGGCAGTAGCGGCAGCGGCAGAGGAAGAGTGGGGGCCGTGGGGGTGGGGGACACCAACAGCGTCGACAACGGGCGGGGAGAGCTTCATGGCGAGCAGCTGCGTTATGGCGTACCCCGCACACACCGCCTCCATGCGCGCATGTAGTGGGCCCTGGGGAGGGGGAGAGGGGAAGAGGAGGGGGAGGGAGGGGGGGAGAGGGAAGGGGTAGGGTGAAGGAGGAAGAGGGAAAGGGGAGGGGGTTGGGAGAGTGGGGTTGAGGCGCAAGAGAATGGACCCCGTTGAAGCCCTTCCCTGTCTCACACACCACCGCACCCCTACTCTGGAGGGTGCTGGCCTGGCAGTGCGCTGTACCTAGAGACATGTACAACGAGAAGCCCCTACCCTGTACGTCCCCCACCTTGGCGCGCACGACAATGTCGGGGTAAGGGCACCCCGCGCCTCCTGACGCACACGCTGCCTCCGCGCCCCCATCAGCTTCCCCTTCCCTTCTCCGCTCCCCGTCCCCCTGCCCCTCCTCTCTTCGCAACCCCCGCCGCTCCTCCCGCGTTTCACCCTCCCCTTCCTCCGCTTTCCCCCCTGCCGCTCCCTCGCCGCCCGCACCCCCCTCGCCGCGCGCGCGCGCGTCGGACTCGCGCGCGGAAGCATCGCGCGCGGGCGGCAGGTCGTCGAGAGCGGAGGGCCACGCGGCGGCGGCGCTGATGTCGGCGGAGTCGATGTACGGCCCGCGCCGCTCCACCGCCACCGCCAGCGCCTCGCGGTCGATCGACGACGCGGCGCGCAGTGCGGAGGGGGAGAGAAAAGCGCGGCGCTGGAGAAGGGGCACGAGGACGACAAACAGCGCGCAGATTAACGCCACGCCGGCTAGCCAGCCGTAGCAGCCGGCATAGTAACTGGACTTAGCCGGCCGGTTTGGAGACTCTAACCGCCGGCCGACTGCCTTGACGAAGCGCGCCCACGCGACGTCTAGATTGAGCGTTGCGAGGCACTGGCGATTCCAGCCGGACAGCCACGTCGCGCGGTTCCGCTGCCGCTGCTGATGGCGACGCGGCTCGGCTCTCGGAGTCGTAAAAGGCGGCATGGCAACGCAGTGGAGATCAACGGAAACACATTAAACCGTTGGGAATTATGCGGAGACTTGACTGAAGTCGCGGTGGGTCTCTGCAGCCGACTTGCGCGCAGCTGCTGCGGTCCTTTCGTTGTTCTCAGAGAAGCCTGCGAACAGATTGCTGCAGTCCTGAGGAGCAAACGAGTCGTCTACGTTGCGACGAGCGAGACCTGCACTCGAGACTCTGGTGATCACAAAGACACCTTTGTGGATCCACCGTCATCGCAATGGTTGCATCCTGCTGGAACGGAAACGAGACAGCCGACTCTGCTTCCATCGATGGCCCCAAGGGAGCATCGAGAAGGGCGGAGCGCAGAAGGCGTGCAGTTGTGGTGATTCAGCACTGGAGAATGTGGGCGACAAACCGTTTCGACAATCTTGCTGAATTGGTTGGGGTCGGTGCCGTGCGTGGCTTTGATATCCAGCTCTTCCGAAAGAGATGCGACAACATTGGCGAACTCGGGGTAGGCATATCTGAGAGGAACAACCACATTCCAGCGAAAACCCGAGCAGTTCGCCAGCGTGTGGTGAGGCTCGCTGGTGGAATGGCGACGTTTGGAATGCCAAACTAGCAGATCCCAGAGGACCACGGCTCAAATACTGGTCGAAACACGTCATTTTCAGAAACAGGTTAGAAAGTGTTGGGGATAAGATAAAAGCTAATTAACGTACAAGCCCCCACAGAAACGCGCCAGAAAAATGTAAACCGCTAGAGGCATCTATCAAGGTGATTATGATACAAGGAATTAGGAGTGTGGCATAATTTACATACATTTCTGGCCAGCCACCCTGAATTTGCTCCATTGCCATTGCCACAGGCATGGCCTCATGAATCAATACTGTCAGTCAGCTGATCCTATCTCTCACATGAGCAATCTTGGGAAAACGCATAAAACCCTTTTCTCACTTGGGCCGTTTCCAAGCTCTTATCTCCCTAATGAGACTTGCAAGAGCACTGGGCATGGCCTTGCTGGATGGCTTATGGAGGCGGAGGATGGAGGAGCCAAACAGCTGTACCGTGCTGCCCACCCCGTCATGCCTGGTGTAAAAGGAGTGGGTGTGGGTGTGGGGTTGAGGCGGAATGATCGAATTATGAGGGGTGTGAGGAATAATGGGTTGATACTTCCAAGTTGTTTCCGAAGGAGGATGGCGGAAGATGGAGGAAGACAGCTGCACGTGAGGGTGGGTAGCAGAGACACAGGAGTGAGATTGTTTGCATAGTGGGTGCACATAGGGAGGGGCGATGATGGACAGACGTGGTCAACAGGCCTAACACAGCAACGTCATTTTCAAAAAGAGCAACGGAATGCCCATCAAGCTTAGAAGCGCCATCACGTGCTCCCAACCACTACACATCCCCTCAACACGATTGCCCCACCATCCCGGGCCACACCTGCGATGGGCGGCGAGCATGTGAGCCATGTTGCCATTGTTGTTGAGCACCAGCATCTCCCCCCGCCGGCACATCTCATAGTCCACCGCTGCCAGCAGTGTCTTCCTCCCTTCAACCCCCTCCAACGCCCCTCCTCCACCCATGGCCCCTGCCATATCCCCATCGCCACCACCCTTGCCGTCCGTCCCCCCAGCGTGGGCGAGGGAGTGCTTGTCGGTGGCGAGGGGGAAGGCGTTGAGTAAAGGAATCAGCGCAGAGCGGCCCCCATACAGGTCGCCCGAGGCGATGTAGAGCCGCGTGGATGGGGGGAAGCCCAGTGCCTGCAGAGCCCGTGCCACCTGGGGAATGGGTAAGGTGGGTGGGGGAGGAGAGGGGGGTAGAGGGGGGCATGTGAGGCGATTCGGAAGATGCAGATGAGGGCTCTGGAGGGAAACCCAGCTCTTCCTGCGCCAATGCCACCTGGAAAACAAGGGGAGGGGGGGGAGAGTGGGAAGGTGGCGGAGCGGGGCTGTGCGATGCACTGTAGAAGACGTGGAGGCGGGTTGAGAGTGAGAACATGCCGGGGTGTGGGGGTGCAAGCAGGTGGGAAGGCAGGCTGCAGATGGTACAAGGAAGAGTACACGGGGGAGCTGAGTAGGGGTCAGGCTTGTGCTGGATGTTTTAGGCACTTGCCTGCGAGGGAGTGAGAAGGCACTTGCCTGCGAGGGAGTGAGAAGGCACTTGCCCTTGGCCCGTTGCAGCTTGGGGTTCATGCGGGGCAGGTACGGCCATCTCTTCCTGATCCTCTCAAACAGCCTCCTCTCACGCGCCCCTCCGCCATAGTCACACCCGGTGAATGCCAGCATGTCAGGCTCGTACCTGTGCTCGCGTGGCACATGGAGGGTGTATGGAGGGTGATGCAAGGGATGGGATGGGGGAATGAAGTTGTGCATGATGGAATGGATGGGAATTGCGGCTGGATATGTGCAACATGCGCACAGAAGCTAACAAAAATGGCAACCAGAACAACGATTCTTGTGCATGATGGGAAGAGTGAGAGTGCTCGGATGGCCATCGCACCTGAGGTGCAGCGCCACATACTTAGGTGCCCCCTCACCACCACCGCCTCCCTCTGCATCAGCAGCCACATCAGCACTGGCAGCAGCACCGGCAGCAGCGGCAGCAGCAGCGGCAGCAGCAGCAGCAGCAGCACCGGCAGCAGCAGCAGGATGAGGAGAACCAGCACTGGCAGGAGCGCCGGCAGGACCAGCGAGGGCAGCAGCAGGAGTGGCAGAGTCGATGGCAGCAGAGGTGGCGAGGGGGGAGGGGTGGGCGAGAGCGCTGGTGAGGCGGGCGACGGCTCGAGTGACTGGCGGCACGAAGCGCAGAGCCTCGTAGTTGGCTTGACAGCGAAGCTGGTGCCACAATCAGCAAGAGGTAGAAGAAGGGGGAGGGCATGTGATGGGGGAGGAGAATGATAGCCTCTGGGTTGACTCAAAAAGCACCTCCTAGTTTGCCGGAAAGAGAGAGACAAAGAGGTCACGACGAGGTCGCTTCAAAGGCTGGTGAGCTCTGAACGCCATTTACCTTGCGCCTTGTGAGTGCCTGTGGGCCGCTCGTTTCCTTAGATGCGGTGGTTACCGTTTATGCACTGCGTATGTTTCAACCATTCAATGGGTGCCTCCAATTGAATGCGGTGGTTACCTTGTGCAGGGGTGCAGGGAGGTCATCGGTGAGCCTGAACTTGAAGCTGTTGAGCTTCAACACCTGCGCCCTCCTGACGGTGGCGGGGGAGACGAATGGATGGGGGGGAGCAGGGGGGTGTTTGGTGGGTGGGGGAGGAAGGGCGGGGCAGGGAAGGAGGGGACGTGAGAGGCAGGGAGGGGAGGCGAGTAGTTGGGCAAGGACGAGGAACCCAAATGATTTAAAGAGTGATTGAAGGGAAACTGGTGCAGGAACATTGCACGGCCTCATTGGCGTCATGCCAAGGCAGGAGCGACAGCAGCTGAGCCAGTGCACTGCCCGCCAAAGTCCAGCGAAGATTGGCTCTTGTGGGCACAGTGTGGGCATGGAAGACAGGCGCAGCACATTGCTGAGGAAATGCAGTATAAGTAGCTGTGACTGAGGCGCTGCAACGAGGCGCCATGCCACCCTCCTGATGGTGCTCCCTGTAGTGCTCTGGCGAGGAGGCTTTGGGCTCAGTGCGCAGCACCGGAAGTGGAGTCAAGGAAGATGGGCAGGCTTTAAGAGACAGAGAGTCCTTCTGAGGACGGAGGGCGCGTGCTGGTTAGTAACACGGGGTTACCAGATGTACCGCAGGGGTTATAGACGGCCCAGCAGCAGCCAGCCACCCACCTGATGAGCGGGCGCACGTGGTGCGTGTAGTAGTCGGGCGAGGAGGCTTTGGGCACCGTGCGCTCCACTGGAGGCAGGTCCCTGAGCACCGTGGGCAATTGCGGCACCACCCTCACTGAGGGGGCGAGCATGCGGATGAAGTGAGGCGCGTCAAACACGTCGGAGAATGTGCTGCTTGGGGGTTGGGGAGGGAAGGTGCGGGGGTAGAAAGGTGTGTTTTGAGTGCGGGAGGGCAGACAATCGAGTGTCAAACGAGAGATGGGAGGGTGAGGCGAGCGTGAGTGGCGGAAGATGAGGGCGGGGATGTGGGAGAGTGGGGTGAGCAGCAAAAAGCACGGAAAGGGATGAGGCATGGGAGGGGCATGAAAGGCAATGGTGATGCAAGCATCGTTGGCACAGCAGGGCTACTGGTTGGTCAAGCCAGCAGGCAGGTCGCAGCTGCCATCATCCCACACCACACTGAATGCCTCACCTGCCGTCCGCCCACCAGGAGGAGTTGTCCAGCCGCGGCAGCACCAGGGTCGCCCCTAGCAGCTTCGCCACCACCACTGCATCGCAGATCTGCCAGCATGCAGGATGGGAGGCGGGTTGGGGAAGGGGGAGGAAGGGAATGGGGTGGGGAGGCAAAGGGGGGCGCCTGCAGAGCTTCGCCAGCACCACCGCGTCACAGATCTGCCAGCCCGCCACGCGAGGACGTGGGGTGGGTGCGGTAAGGAGGGGGATAGGAAGGGGGAGGAGGAGGAGGAGAGAGGGCGTGAGGGGGTAGGGGAGATAAGGGATGTGCGCTAGGGGAGAGGACATGGACAAAGTAAGAAATGAAAGAGGTTAGAAGAGGCGGTGGGGTTTAGAGGGGGTGGAGGACAGGGAAATGAGTGAGCAAAGTGCGCGCATTCACCCCTGCACGCACTCACCCCTGCACGCACTCACCCCTGCACACACTCACCCCTGCACGCACTCACCCCTGCACGCACTCACCCCTGCACACACTCACCCCTGCACGCACTCACCCCTGCACACACTCACCCCTGCACGCACTCACCCCTGCACGCACTCACCCCTGCACACACTCACCCCTGCACACACTCACCCCTGCACGCACTCACCCCTGCACGCACTCACCCCTGCACGCACTCACCCCTGCACACACTCACCCCTGCACGCACTCACCCCTGACCGCATTTGGTTGAGTCCCCCTGCGAGCTGCACGAGCAGATACTCCCCCTCGCCGTCCTCCTCACCCCGTTCCCTCCCGCCTGCTAAGCTCTCCTGCCAGCCGGTAAACAGTGCACGGGCCAAGGTAAGCGAGGCATGGCAGGCGAGAGGTGGTCTTGGAAAAGATGAGAGCAAGGAATGGCGCAAGTGTGAAATGGCACGTGCAGGAAATGGCACGTGCAGGAAATGGCACGTGCAGGAAATGGCACGTGCAGGAAATGACACGTGCAGGAAATGACACGTGCAGGAAATGACACGTGCAGGAAATGGCACGTTCAGGAAATGGCACGTGCAGGAAATGACACGTGCAGGAAATGACACGTGCAGGAAATGACACGTGCAGGAAATGACACGTGCAGGAAATGACACGTGCAGTGAACGGCACACGAATGGAATGGCACAAGCATGGAATGTCTCATGCATGGAATGGCACAAGCATGGAATGTCTCATGCATGGAATGGCACATGCATGGAATGTCTCATGCATGGAAGCTGCCAACCATCGGATCAGCTGTTTTACGAAGGAAATGCATTGCTCTGCTCGGAAAACGACCAAGGGAGAAACGCTGCCTCACGTTCTGCCTTGTGTGTGAGGTGCTGCTGTTGCCGCTTTTGACGCTAGCGCTGCCGCCTTCCCTCCTGCTGCCATCACAGTTGATGCTCTGCAGGCCTGCTCCTTGAATGGCAGGTGCTTGCTGGAAACTCGCGTGAGTGACACGTGCGAGAAGGGCAGCTGTCAAGCCAATAGGGTGCAGTGGTTGCAGGTGCTGATGCATGCACGCACGTGAGAGGTATGTTTGGATAGGAGCACAAGGGAAAGCAGGGAAGGAGGCGTGATGCGGAGGGAGGGAGGGAGTGTGGGGGAGAAGAGGAAGGGGGGTGGAGGAGCAGGAGCATAGGGCAAAGGTTGGGTTAGGGGGAAGTGATAGGCGTTTGGAGGAAGGCGGCAGTGTGGCGGGACGAGTGCAGGAACACGAAGTGCTGAGTCGTGTCAAGGCTCACCACGAGGGAGGGCGGGCGCGAGGTGGTAGTAGGGTGGGTGGGTGCGGTGGGTGCGGTGGGCGGGGGGTTGGTGGCAGGGGTCGGCGAGGGAGGGGTAGGCGAGGGAGGGGTAGGCGAGGGAGGGGTCGGCGAGGGAGGGGTCGGCGAGGGAGGGGTAGGCGAGGGAGGGGGGGGTGAGGAGGTGCGGCGAGGTGGAGAAGAGCTTGTGTGGACGCCGCCCTCATGCACGCCGGGCGGAGCAGGGCTCCAACGCACGTGGCGCGGGAGGGGGCAGGGGGTGTACGAGGGGTAGCGGAAGAGAGGGAGCGGAAGGGAGGGGTCGGGGAAGGGGGAGAAGGGAGAGGGCGGAAGGGAGAGGGCGGAAGGGAGAGGGCGGAAGGGAGAGGGCGGAGAAGGGGCAGAAGGGAGAGGGCGGAAGGGAGAGGGCGGAAGGGAGAGGGCGGAAGGGAGAGGGCGGAAGGGAAGGGGCAGACGGGAGAGGGCGGAAGGGAAGGGGCGGAAGGGAGAGGGCGGAAGGGAGAGGGCGGAAGGGAGATGGCGGAAGGGAGAGGGCGGAAGGGAAGGGGCAGAAGGGAGAGGGCGGAAGGGAAGGGGCGGAAGGGAGAGGGCGGAAGGGAGAGGGCGGAAGGGAAGGGGCAGAAGGGAGAGGGCGGAAGGGAAGGGGCGGAAGGGAGAGGGCGCAAGGGAGAGGGCGGAAGGGAGAGGGCGGAAGGGAAGGGGCGGAAGGGAGAGGGCGCTAAAGGCACCGTACCTGCGGCAGCGCGTCCATGCGGCGGTGCGAGGCGAGGTGCAGGAAGGCCACGCAAGCAGCCACCGCCACCGCCGCCAGCACCGCGGCCGTCAGCGCGCCCTGCTTCCCGCACCGCCATGCTGCCGCGCGTGTGGGGAAGCAGAGGCCGGTTGGAACGGCGGGCACGTCGGATGACATGAAGGCGGAACGGGGTGGCGTGTGGATGGAACCATGCAGAGCGTGTGGGAAGGCGATCAGCGATCATAATCTATAACCCTGTCGCTGACAGGTGACGGGTAACCAATTTGTAGCTGTGTACACTAGGAAATTTCTTGACCAATAACAGCGCATCCATCAGCTCGCCTGAATTTAACCATCATCACGCTATTAATAAGGCCATATTACCGGTCCCAGTAAGCAGCGGCGACGCGCCCGTCGCCGCCAGTCCGCGTCGCCTCGCCGCCACCGTCGCTATCGCGTGAGTTGGCATTGGATGGTGCGGCGTTTGAGGCGCCTCGTATGTCGTCGCCGTCGCTGCCGCCATCTGGTGCTCCGCCCTCGACATGATGCCGTGAAAGGAGGAGGGCACTGCTAGCGGAAACAACGGTGGAGCCTCGAGAGGGAGTCGGCATCAACGGCTCCGCCTCGAAGTATAATTCCAGGGTTTGGAGCGGGTGGGTGAGAAGTACTAATGCTTCGCTTGCTGGAGGATCATGTTGGTAGTGATAGTGGGTACAGTGCTGGCAGATACGTCGATTCGTTGCGTGGCGCGTCCCGCCAAAATCAGCCAACCCGGCTTCGGGAAACTCCGAAGCGGTTGGGCAGCTTCGTGGGGTGTTCGGCCAGACATGTTGGCTGTCGGTGGACCGTCGCGAAACGACGACTCGTTGGAAGAAACACGGCCGTCTGACTGTAAATTGTGACTATATGTGACGGCATGTGTTTGCAGAATTCTGTCTAGTACCCAATCCAGCCAGACAAAACAGCCAACGACCATCCGACGTGGCCATTCGCCGGCAGCGAGCCGCGTTGGAACTTGAAGTTGGGTGGCGAAAGCTCTTTCGTCGTCAAAGAAAATAGACGTCGCGAAAGTGGCACGATGGTCTTCGCGACAGTGTGCACGGTATAACCCGGCGAGCGCTATACCATATGGTTGCCGAGCCGACGCGTTGGCATCGACTGCGCCACGAAATACTAATAATGCGCGCAGTGCCGGTGGCTGGGTTGACTCGGGGTATCGGGATGGTCTGTTTCGTGCTGGGAAGGACGAGGGCCTGGTTCCCGCGTCAGCCGTTTACTATTGGTTGGGATTTTGAAGCCCTGATTGGAAGATAAAGCCAACTCGAGAGCATCACGACTCGGGTGTTGCCGTCTCCTTTGAAATATTGGCGAGCTTCGTTAATGTGTCTGTCAAAACTTGGACTAGAACATCTATGAAAAAATGACCAGAATAATTCATACAAAACTAGAGTTGACCTTGCATGAAGGGTCGAATTCATTGGCGACTTGTGCCATCAATTTCGTGGCGCCGCGGAGGTTTCTTGCTGAGCCCATCATCTCCAACCATCTCTTGCTTCCCCCTACCCTCAGCTAGGGTCGTGGAAGTGCTGCTGTTATTTTCATTTCGTTCGTTCATTCTCGCAGTCTCTCACTCCCCCTCTCTTCTTTCTCCCCGCCATAAAAGGCCTGCTGGCCGACGATGCTTCTACTCAGGCTGGCTCAGATGAGCCACCGTTACCGCCGAAACCAACGGAGCCTACCCTGCTGGAGAAAGCTTCTGAAGCCCCTCGCTCTAGGCTCGATTTTCTTAGAACTACCAACGTTGCTTCAGTTTCCCTCGATCCTCCTAGATCCACCGTCCATGAATCTGCAGCTAGAGTAACTTCCACTCTGTCTGAGTCTCCCCATCCCGCCCCCTTCTCTCTACCCCCTGTTGTTGCTTCTTGCAGTAAGGATCCCCCACCGGCCTCGTCGAGTCCCACAGCAAGCACGGTGCGGGTGTCCGTTGGTCCTCCATCATCGGCTTCTTCCTGCCCCAAACGAGCGCGATCTGGGAAGTGGGCGCAGAGTACCCTGGTCCTCGGAGGCCGCCGTATTCCACCGTCGGACAAGCCGGCTGATCCACCACGTGACGTTGCTGAGATCCCGGAGTCAACTGACATCCCTGTCAGCACGAACACCAGCTTGCCCGCACTCATCAAGATGCAGCAAAGAGAGCAGATGTACCTTGAGGCGAATATCAAGTGCGAGACGAAGTGGTCGGGCATGTTTTCGTGGCTGGTGTTTGGGAAACTAAGGATGGATTTCCCGATGTAAAGTGCAGCGTCTGCATGTCGTACGGGAAGGAGAACACGACGTACGCCAAGCAAGGTGATGACGGTGGCCGTGACTTGCAGACGCAGTCACTTCGGGCGCACGAGCACACGGATGCTCACACGGCGGTGGTTGATCGGCAGATGAAGATTGGGCATCTGCAAGGGGCAGCAGGTGATTTCAAACTTTATCAACTATGACATCGAGGGGCGGCGCGATATTTGACTCAACGTGCCGATCAGCATGTTCCCGAAGCTGCTGCAACATCTCGCGGAGCAGGACACGCCCGAAAATCCGAGGCAATCTTACGGGGTCTATCTCACTTGGTATGACGATGTTACTGTGTGTGGCTTTGTTACGCGTGTTGTGTTTAAGGTTTCCTTCATTTGTTGCTTACAAAATGACTTTCAAATATGTGTAGGTACAGCTTTCAATAGATGGTTCACATCATTAGTGCCTACCTGACGCGGGTGCAGATGGACCACATCCAATCTTCCCCCTTCCTCGGCATCAGCTGCGACGAGAGCACCAACCAAACGCGACGGCAACACATGATTGCTTACCTCGCCTTTTTTAAGAATCGCCAAGTTGCATGCAATTTTTCAGTCTGCTGACAATTGAGAAGAGTTATGCAGGGTCTTTGTTCGAGGTGCTATTGAATCATCTCCGTTCCTCAGCCGCCGGCGTGTCCGAGATCGTGGGAGTCAGCACGGACGGGGCGTCGGTCATGCTGGGGAAGGATAACGGATGGGTGGCGCGGCTTCGGGAACACGCCCCGCATCTCTCTTCCTGACACTACATCGCCCACCGGTGAGTTTGCACGTCGTCTTGAAGCGATGTACATGTCTCTTGTTTAAATCACACATGTTGTGTTATGTCCCCTGCTTCTTACAGAGAGGCTCTAGCTATGAAGGACTTTGCGACGACAAGGTGGTGCGCATCCTGGCGGCAGAGCTCGGGAGTCAACGCTTCAAGTACCTGTAGCGAGTGATCTACAACACAAACCTTGAAGTCCAGGGGATCCGCACGGTTCGGTGGCTGTCACGAGGGAATGCGGTGCGCCGGCTGTGCAAGGTCCTGGGCACTTGCATCGTTTTGCTTTGGGAGAACAACCACAAGGCGTACGAGATTGTGACGTGCTACAAGTTCCAATTCTGCTCGTTCTTCCTCGCCGACATCCCCACCGACATGAACGACCTCAACCGGTGCTTCCAGAAGCGTAATGTAAGTTTTTTTACTAGTGCGCGTTGGCCTATGTTTGTGAATGGTTTGTTATACTGTTGCAAAACGTCAAACATGTGCGTAATGTATGAACTATGACAGCTGGATGTGACGGAGATTGTCAAGACCATTCAGTCCACCACGGGGGATCTGACGGAGCGGTACTTGGAAATCGACAAGCCGTTCAGTGGGGAGAGCAAAAGCTGGCTGGTCGGCTTTCTAAATATCCATGGGCAAGGCGGAGGCAAGAAGGTCTGGGTGTGAGGCAGGGACGGGGAGGGACGCCCCAATCAACCACCTCTACACCATGCACGAGAGGAAGCTCACATGCCACAAGTATGGAAGCAACTACGCTGAGTGCGTGAAGCTGTGCTGCAGGTTTGCCCGCGATTGCGTGGACAACCTCAACGAGCGTCTGGATGATATGGGGAAGCTGGGGCCGACGAAGCTGTTTCTGGTGGGGAAGTGGCCGATAATCAGGACTCAACGAGAGAAAAAGTGCCGTCACTGGTTGCTGGGATGTAGCAAGTGTTTCCGTAACAGGCTGCCGGGGTTCAACCTCAAGGCGGTAAAGAGGGAGCTCCCGACTTTCTGTGCGATAATGGAGATGCACCAGCATGGCGAAGCAGCGCCCCTTGAACGGTGCAGCAGCCGTGTTCGCCGCAACGGCATATATGGTGACGTGCTCGGTCGGCCCTCGAGGGCGATGTGTCAACAAGAACGGACTGGAATGATGAACTAGAAAGGATTGTGAGTACAAATATGAAACCCTAATGTTGTGACCCCCCTATAGGCTAACCCACTACAGCCTACACAAACACAACATATATAATGTTTGACACACCCCCATAGGCAAAGTGGGGGAGACCTAAGGGTCACAAGACCAGTCAAGGCAAAGCAAGGCAACAACAAGCTCAGGGTGGATCTCAAGGATACCACACAAATTCCGAGCACAAGCTAGTGGTCACAAGACCAGTTCACATGCAGGTTTATAACAGAGCATGAGATACAGTGATCACAACCTAGCAAGAGTAAACATGCAGGTAGATATATATATAGTGATCACAGTACAAGCAAGGTCAAGAGGTAAGTAAGTGAGGTCCAGTAGGCACAAGGCCTAGTAGAGTGCAGAAGCGCTGATGGTCACAAGGCGGAAGCGCCTTGGTGAACACATCAGCAAGGTTGGCCTCAGTGGCCACGTAACGCAGACAAAGCTGACCGCGCTGCTGCAGCTCTCGAGCAAGGAAGTACCGCAGGGCGATGTGCTTCGTTCTGTGCTCCAGTCTGTGCTCCTCACACAAGGCAATGGCAGCCTGGTTGTCGACGTACAGCACTGGAGGAGAACGAGGCCGCTCACCCAAGTCGGTCAGCAGGTAGGTCAGCCAGCGTAGCTCCTGGGCAGCCATGGCTGTGGCGTAGATCTCAGCCTCACAACTGGAGCTGAGAACAGAAGAAGAGCGTGTAGAACGCCAAGAAACTGAGCCGGAGCCAAGGCTAAAGGTGTAACCCTGAGACGACCGCTGAGTAGCCTGGTCGTCCGCCCAAGAAGCGTCTGAGTGTCCAGTAAGTACAACTCGGTCTCGCCCTCCAAGCACTAGCCCCATGC